AAATACATGAATTGTATTATTTAAGGTCTGGAATTTTCTCAGTCATTACTTCAGCCAAACAAGGCCTTTAGAGGCTGAATTTCAGTTTTTTCCAAGAACAATAATTTTAGCTCTTGCCGAGACGAAGAATTTTCGCGAAGAACAGATTTTCAAAATCCTATTCTAAGATGCAGTAAAATATAGATTTCAGAAACTGCACAGTTTTAACTAAACAAAACTAACACAGTGTGTTAGTTTTTAACAAAAAGTTATCAAAGAACTCAAGATTTAATTTCAGTAAAATAATATGGTTTTAAACCTCATTTTAACGAAAGTATTCGTAAAGAAAGTTTTCAAGGAAAAAAATGATTTCTTTTAAAGAACCTAGTGGTTTACGGAGCAAATCATCCCGACGGGCACCTGCGAGCCCAATACAATAGGCCTTTAGAATTTCAAAGATTGGATGTGGGTCCAACACCCGCATTTAATTCAAGAGACCTCGTTTGAATTTAAATTTCAACGGCCTAAGAGTTAGAATGCCGTGAATAAGTTTCTAGGCCGAATTGGGCCTTAATATCATAATAAGTCCAATGAGAAAAACTATGGAGAATAAGTTACTAGATTGAGTAAATGATTTTCAATCTAGACATTAGTATGTTAAGGGCAATTAAGGAAAATAAGATTTTAAGATTTTAATAAATTGATCCTTATAGTAAATTATCCTTCAGTAAAGTAAATGAATACATGCCTTATGTAAAGGGCTAGATTTCCTTCATAAGCTGCTTAAATAGAATAGCAAACGATAGATAATCCCACACTTTCAATGGGTGTTTATGTTCAGAAGTAAGCAAGTAAGAGAATATGTTGTTTGGCAAAAAGTGGATTCCAACTCTGTAAATCAGGTAAGTAGGAATCTCGCCTACAGTATAAATAGATTTTAAAGAAAGGGTTACACATGTTATATATGCATGTTTATGCTTTAAGTATTGTATGCGATGCCATGTCATACTGCATACACCTTAATAAGTCAAGAGGAACTTATAAGAATAATCTTAGTTGAGTGTCGTCCCAGCCTCTGAGAGGGAGGTGACTCAGGCTCCCAAGGGAGAAGAAAAAAATATATAATAATGTCCTCTGAGAGGGAGGCATTCAGTTCAGTTATAATCACAGTATCATGGGGGACCTTGCAAACCCTCACATCCCGATGATTGCGCGCAAGTGGTACGAGCACTCGGGCCCAAGATAAGATAAGATAATAAGACTATGATAAGACATCATAATTAAGCATAATCAGCTCATGCATATTTATTCATGTGTACTTACAGTTATTTTACGAGAGATAGTTCCTACTTGCTGAGCGAAAGCTCAATCAGATATGTTGATGCTGTAGGTAACAAACCTATCAGCAATTCTTGAAGGGCAATGGCGAGCGGCAGACGAATGGTGGAGATGGGAATGGATACCGCTCACACTTAAATCTTCTGCAGTAAGTTTAAGTAAAATTATGTATATGTATATATGATTCAAAGGTTTCAAGCATGTATATTTGAAAAGTATATGTACATGTGTATGTTAAGAAAATCGAGGTTGTAGTTAACAAACCTAATCTTGAGTATTTAAGTTTTAGAACGTTGCAACAGTGCATGCAACAAATAAATGAATTTTAAACATGATGATTTAAATGATTGATTTTAAAAGGACTTTAAGATGTACTTGAATTTAAGATTTCTCACGAAATCCATTTTAAAGTCAAATTAGATGGTTCGATTGAATTGGCTAATTTTAGAAAGGCTTTTAAAGAGTATTTGAAACAAGAGTTCAAACGCCGTTCAGTTTGAAAGACACGATTTATGAAATTATTCATTCTTACATTTAAAAAAAAAAAGAAAAATGTTCCGCAATTTTAAGAAATTCCAATAAGTACAAGTTAATTTTCAATTACGGTGATGGCCTCCTAGGAGGGTCGTCACATAAAAGACCTACTTAGAACTTTAATATGGCCTACGGGCCTTAGCAGTTTATAACTGGGGAAACAGTAGAGAATAGACTAATATGAAACGCTTAAGAATGTATATAGGTCAATTTTTAATTATAAAATTTAATAGGTTATAATTTTTGAATTTTTAAATTTTTTCTTTTTTTCTTTTTTCTTTCGATCCTCTCTGTCTCTCTCTCTCAACTGTACCCGCAACTCTCTCTTTCTCTCTCTCTAGCTTCAAGGATCTTCACCGGCGTGGATCCTTTGTAACTGCGCTCGGATTTGCTATCTCGTTGGTGGATCATCGGTGGATCAATTTTTCGTCGGTCGGTCATTCTCTTTCTCATTGGATTTGCTCTTCTCCGGTCATCTTTGAGCAGTTTGTTCCGGTGATTTTTACCAAAGAACAGGTTTGTGTAGATAAATCTGAATATACCCTAATTTAGCATATTTATTAACTTTTGTAAATTGTTAGTCTATTAATTTTAATTCATCTTAAATCTTAACATATTTCCCTCTTTCTCCCTTATAGTATATAAGGTTGATCGACATATCAATAGAATTAATTTAGATTTGTATAAAGTCAAATTTAATTAAAAAATATACAAAATTAACAGTTAAAAAAATTGATTTATCGCGGCTAACTTATGATCGAGAATGATTAACTGGATCTTTTTCTTTTTTCTTTTTTTTCTCGCATTCGTGTCTCATTCATTTTTATTAGAAATAACTAGTTAAGACGCGCATTCTTGAAACAATGTTTATACAAATAAATGAAAAAAAGACAAAGAAGAAAGAAAGTAAAAAAAAAAAAAAAAATATGAGGGAGCGTCTCCTGTAACAATTAATAGTTTTTTATTTTGTAATTGTCATATTTATATTAGAAACTGTTTATTTCGTATATTTTTTTAATTTAATTTAGTTTTGACCACATTTAACGGTTAAAAAACTATTCTTATCGACAGGAGCAATCTATCGGAAAAACTCTAAAAAAAACAAAGGCAAAAGACATAAAAAAAAAAAAAACTCAAAAAAGTTTTGAAAAACCTGTGGACAAACATTCGCACATTTTAACTTGTGTGCAAAACGTTCACATATAACTAAATTGCCGAAAGTCATTAAAATGACATCCGTACATCATTTTTAATCCAATGTTACCTAAAAATTGCTTGTTGCCAACATTCCATTAATTGGTTGTTTTCCCTCATTCTCCTGAAGATAAATAAGAGTACATACGTTTATACATATGTAATTATGTATTGAAGAAAGCCTGAACAATTTCCATCCCAGTCATATATTTTTTCAGATTATCGCTGTGAATGATAGCAGTTATTTTTTTTGGCACATACGTGGGCCATCTCGACACTGCTGGGGGGGGCGGGGGTGGTGTGTCCAGAGACAGATCTTTTTCGTTCCATTAGAATTTTATGTTAAGCCTGCAGCATAATGCGCATGGCCAAAACAGACAGCAGTGAAAGATGAAATAACTAATAAGACTAGACAGGTTCATAAATTACCGCAAAAGAGATGCACTGAACAGGTTGCTCGCTTGACAATGTGATTCCCGGCGATGTCCACAAAAAAGACGCATTCTGAGAAATATATTCAATGACGCCAAATTCCTCTGCATCTTGCAAATACAGTGTGCGGATTCCGCATTCTTTTACTTTGTATTTACCATTTTCAACAAGTGATCTGAATTTACTTTGTATTTACTTTGTATCAAACGGTTCTAGGCAAAATTCAAATGACATTCAAATGACATTTCAGGGCAACAAGTGATCTGAATTGAGAAATTTGATTTCTTTCATCCATTCGGCCTTCTCTGGTCTCTGGGATCTCCAAACAGATCTGTAGCTTTCACCATGGTTGGTTTTTAAATGGTATTCACAACAGCAATTCAAGTGCTTGACATCAAAACAATAGTGCTCAAACTCAACAACAAAGCAAAAGGCAAAACCTAAGAAGTCGGGATTATGCCAATTTGGAGAAAGCTTGATATGTTTTGAAGATCCCTTGGACTGATCACTGAACCACCATGGAATTTCATTTCCAGGACAGCATAAATTGATTCTAGGAAAAATTATTTTCTGCAGTACAAACAAGCATTATGATTATCTCACTTAATAAAAAACTACACAAACTTTTTTAGAAGAACAAGAAAGAGACATACCTCTTGTTCTATTTCATTCATCTTAAACCAAATTGCCTCCCACAAAACGATAAGCAGGAATTTAGCCGCCATATTGGTGCACTCCGCCTAATCAAATCTTGAACATCCGCAAAAGAGAAAGTTTGAGAAGTTGGAATTATCCAAAGGCGAACATCGGCATGCCTGAGGTTTGGCCAAAAGGCTATCCATCTGAAAGTCACCTGTCTCGTTGTTGCCTCTTGAAAACAGAATCATATTAAACAATCGTTCCATGCTCACATGTCTTCTGCCGGTGGTGATATCGGTCAAGTCAAGCAATGTCAACGAGGATAAACCGAAGTTCCAATGAGGGACTTTTAATATGCTGTTGTAACTTAGATCTACTTCAATCTTGCAGTGAAAACCAACTGACAACGCTGGCAAACTCTCAAGTTTTGGACATTTAGAAAAGTCAAGATACTCAAGGCATCGTATATTGTAGATGTTGTTTGGAACAAGCTCGAGATTTTCAGTGTCTCAAAAATAGCAACCGAAGCCTAGTTAGATTTTCAATCGATGAGTGCAACTCCCTAATCCTTGTTCCATCCAAGTTCAGAATTCTTAAACATTCCATAGGCTCCAAGATTTCTGGGAAGCTTTTGAAGTTTGTGCAATCGGACAGATTAAGAGTCACAAGAGACTCCAGCTTACATATGCTGGTTGGCAGGGACTTAAGCCTTGTGCAATTTTCTAGATATAGAACCTCCAAATTAGGGAGACACTCAAAGGATGACGAGGCAACTTGTTCTATTGCGGTTCCGCTTAAGTGTAACATCCTTAAATTCTTCGGAAGCTCTGGAAACTTGTCAATAGTTGAGCAGCCTCCTAAATCTAGATGTTCTAGGGACTCCAATTGACAAATATTGCTTGGAAGATTCTTGAGGCCTCTACAGCTATTGAGATCTAAATGAGAGAGATTTTCAAGAGACCAAACTGAAGGGTGCAATTCTTCAACTGCGGTATAACGTAAACATATGGATCTTATATTCCCACACATCTCTGAAAGCAATTTGAGATTTAAGCAGCCACCGAGATGAAGAGAGTAGTCACAGACCTCAGGAATCGACAAGAAAGCTTAAGTTTCTTTAGGTCTCCAGTAACTATTTTCCATCATGCTAAAAACTTGAGGTCTCCAGTAACTTTGTTCCATCGTGCTTCTAACTTTTTCCTCTTGACCAACACACTCGTCAAAGGCTTGCTCAAACCTCAGTGTAGGAACTTCTACTAAACTCCCACAATTTGCCAGATTTAAACGCCTGAGATTAGCTTGAGAGAGATCTTGCATATGAGACAGCGTCTTTGAGAAACTAAGATTGATAGCTTTTAGGCTCCCAAGATGCTGTAATGGAAACAGAAATGTCAAGCATAAGTTATAATATCCTTCAAAAATAACATTGAAACCAACATGACGTAGAATAATTCTAGGTGCATCAATTATTATCTCAACTTTTTAATACCAACTACAAATCCGACATATCCGTTTATTGGTAGGTAGTAAGTATATACCTGGAATTCAATAGAAAGCTGCTCCAACTGGCTTGAGGGCATGTTGAGTTCCAGGAGATTTTGAGGCATAAAACTCGATGGTAAAGATTTCCAAGGATATGTGGGCCAATTGAGATATCTGAGTGTATCAAGACCTTGTGGGAGATGCAATTTGCACTTTTCTATGCATTCAAATATCTGAAGTAATCTTAGATTGTACATTTTATTGAAGACTGTCGGTTTCAAGTTTATATGATCAACTCTCATTTCAGACGTGTTTAGGGAGATTGCTTCAACTTTTGCAGTGCCCTGAAAATTGAGAACAAAGGCATAATGTAAGAATGTTTTCTTTTCTGATTCCAATTTAAACATGCTTTATATTGATTGTGTTGACTTTTTATCTAAAAGGAAAAAGACTAGCAGTCTTTCCATTTATCCAACTGCCATTTATCCTTTCAGCAGCCAAAAAAAACAAAAAAACAAAAAAACAAAACAAAAGAAAAAAAACATGCCATTTATCCATTTTGAGATTTCAGTTTAGTGTAGCTGTTATGCACACACCAAACAGAATATTAAAAGAATATGCAATATGTTAAACTGAAAATGACAACAAACCAAATATGTATTGAGTTCTCAAGTTGTTTCAAAATGATTTTCCTGTGAAGTTTTTATTAAAAACTGTCACATAATGATTAAAAATAAGTTTAGCGCAGCACTTACTGCGTCATTTTTCAAGATGTGACAAACTTCATCAGCGATCCACAGCCTACTACGCATTCCAGGCTCTTTAATGCATTCTTGACGAACAATTTCACGACCCATTTCTTGCACCAAATCATGCATCCAAAGTTGATCATAATACGTTAGGGTTATGAGAGTCTTGTCAACAAGAACTCTAATGATCTCCGCAAAAGAACCACAATCATCCAATAGTTCCTCCACAAAACTCGTTCTCTTGCCCTTGAAGAAACATGCAACATCAAGAAACACATCCTTTTCTTTATCATCGAGTCCATCATAACTTATTTGCAATATATTCTGGATTTTTTTTTGGGAACTACTTTTAGTTTCTCCAGCGCACTTTCCCATTCGATTTTGCTCTTAGAATACAAGTGAGAACCCAAAACTTTAAGAGCAAGTGGTAAGCCTGCAGCATAATCTATGACCTTTCTAGACAAATCTAAATAACTTTCTGTGGGAGAGTTTCTTCTGAAAGCATGCAGAGAAAAGAGTTGGAGAGCTTCATCTTCATTCAATTGCTCTGCCATGTATATCCTATCAACTTCAATATTCTTGAGCACTTGCTTATTTCTAGTTGTTACAATAATTCTACTTCCAGGACGAAGCCAATCACGACCTCCAACTAAATGTTCAAATTGCTCCAAATCATCTATATCATCAAGAACCATAAGTATCTTTTTACAGCGAAGCCTATCCTTTACAAACACCATGTTGATAACATGAGGATTTCTTTCCTCCAGCAAATTAGTAAAAAGTCTGTTTCTGAAATCAAATTTCCCATGTTTTTGCCATTCTTCCCTAACATTTTCAAGAAAGCAATAACCTTCGAATTGACGATATAAACGATGAAACACAAGATGAGCTAGAGTTGTCTTACCCAAACCACCCATGCCCCAAATGCCTATAATGCGAACATCCAATGACAAGTCTTCGAGCAACAACGATTCAATATGCTCAACGCGCCCGTCAATTCCAACTAGGCCATTCAAATCATCACCTGACGATAGACAATGCAATTTCTCCATAACACCTTTGACAATTCTCTCAACTAATTCAGATTCAGGCCTAGTATATGTATTTGGAAAAAAAAAAAAAAAAAGCAAACAAATAAACAATTAACAGTTAATAAGAACTGAAACAATGACATAAAAATTTTACTAAACACAAATAAGTTAAGAGAATTACCTGGTGACTGGTTGTGACGATCTTAACTTTTGATCATTATCCTAGGCTCATACTTAACATTTCTTAATCTCTACCGTCTACTAGTTATAACTCCTTAAAATTTCAGAACATTTTTTTTCATTTTTATTCGTGTCTGAATGCTGTAGCATTCTATTTTCAACTATTATGAATTGCTATAGCAATTCGTTTTCAACTATTATAAATGGCTGTAGCAATTCATTTTCAACTGTTAGGAATTGCTATAGCAATCCATTCTCATCTATTATGAATTGCTGTGACAATCCATTTTCAACTATTATGAATTGCTGTAGCAATTCGTTTTCAACTATTAGGAATTGCTGTAGCAATCCGTTTTCAACTATTACGAATTGCTATAGCAATTCGTTATATTAACCATACCTTATGACTAGAGGTTGCTATACATAGCCTCAATGTCTTGTGAATTGTTCCTTCATTACATAAGCCATTTATACTCATAAACACTATTTCATTTTACACATAAGGTTTTGCAGCATTTCCAAAACACGTGATACATCCACAACCCACTTGCCCACATTCCACTGCTGCATCCTCTCTGCATGCCCATCAACAAGTTTCAGAGAGCCAGTGCCTTACCCGAGCTTCCTACAACACGAACAAACTTAATGAGCTTTCGCTCAACAAGGATCAATAGGTCATAAATAGATGCAATAATTATGCATACCCATATATACATTCATGTCATATATCATAATACATTCCGTACTACTAAAACATGTATGACTTATGTTCTTCTTCTTTCATTACATTCTTTGTTCTGCGCGTTTTCATCTCATTTTAGTCATTCACATTGTGTTTTCACATTCTGAACGACTTTCATTTCGTGTTTCTCATTCTTTTCATTCTTCTTTACAGATACCGTACCTTTATATAGAACGGTTTCTGTTTTTCATTTTCATGTCTTTTACTTCTTATAGGTCCTGTCTTGTTGTACCATAACGCGCATAACCAGTGAGGAGTGAGGTAGCTAACCAATCCAACTCAGTCACGGTTTCATATCTTTCATAGTCTCATAATAACCTTTCCTTCGAATGCTGGTACAAACAGGACATTTAGTCTCTTACCGTTTATCAATTTTCTCATTTAAACGGTAACTTTAGTTAAATCTCATGAATTTGTACATTATTGAGCATTTTATCATGAGATTAACTTTTCGCTAAACATTGTTCAGCATATTTAACAATTTATTTGTGTAAACAATTTGTTCAACTTATTTGTGTAAAAACAAAACAAAACAAACAAATAAACACTTAACAGTTAATAAGAACTGAACAATGACATAAAAATTTAACTAAACACAAATAAGTTAAGAGAACTACCTGGTGACTGGTGATCCCACCCAGATAGATTAGCTGCTTTTGTTAAAGCATCCCGCCATTGTTTCACTTTGTCTAGATCATCCTTAAAGTGTTCTTCAAGCATGACAAACGCAACAGCGTAACTTCGTTGTTGTTTCCGCACATCAGATGGACTTACATGGTAAAAGACCGGCAGAACAATCTGCATATTCGTCTCCTTGCACCTGAGAATATGCGCGAGCTCATCCAAACACCACGAGGAAGAAGCATAATTCTCCGAGAAAACAATGATGGAGAGTTTCGACTCCTCAATTGCAGCCAAGAGAGAGCACGGAATTTCATCTCCTCCCCCAAGTCTCCCATCAATGAGGTTTCTATATTTCTATCCAGCAATGCTTTGTGAAGATGACTAGTGAATGTATTGCGCGTGTCCTCGCCTCTAAAACTGATAAAAACATCGTACTTTTTCGGGACAAGAGAACCCATACTCGTGTAATTGAGAAAGAACCATTACCAACCAAGCACAATAAACAATTAAAATTCCTTGTATGGAATCAGAAGCTGCTAAATGCTAATGGTCTTTTAGAGACAATAAAGAGATAATACTTGCAAGGTAATAGGTAGTAAAGAGTGAATAAAACAAAGAAATTAGAAGCTCCAGAAGTGGCTGGGAATTTCCTGCAAGTGAAGTTACAAAGATATTGCCTAAAATTAATTAGTTATGCCGAATAGAGTCAAAGTAACGTGTACGTTGGGTTTCTTGGGTTTCTTTTCCTGTGGAAAATTATTGAAATGACTAGAAATTTGGGGCGTTCCAATCTATTCACATGCAGACCAAATTTAATTTTTCGTTTTTTGTTTTGTTTTGTTTTTCAGTCAATAATGAAACGTCGAAGAAGCATCCAGCATATGTAAATGCGTCGATTCGAGAGGTCTCCGGTCATTCGCAGGTGCGTTCGGTGGGGTGCAGTGGCTTTAACTCTGATTTTTTTAATAAAAAAAATTCTTATTAATAGATTTTCTCACAAAATTTAAATTCAGAATTAAAATCACTAATTTATATGCATTAACTAAATAGATTAGAGAAAATTGTGCTAAATGTAGGGTTGGTTTGAATTCTTTTAAGGGGCCTAATATGTAGTTTTCAAAAATTACTGAAAGTTTAAGTAATGAAAAATAGTGAATGCCTTACACTTTTATTTTATTATTATTATTTTTTAAGAATAGAAGTTGTTGTCATATACGAAGGCGTTTGATGCAGTAACAATTTTTTTAAAAGGTTATTGGTACGGATAGTCTCTACGTTCTTTAGTAAGTGATAGTTTGGTCTTTAAAGAACTTGTCATATCTAGCCTATTTGGACCTTTCAGACAACCAAATTTTATTTCACCTAAATCCTCCCGACAAGCTTTGCCTATAAATAGTCATGGGTAGAACAAAATTTCTCATTTTCCAAACTAAATCCTCCCTTTTTTCCAAGCCAAAAATTGCAAGAAGACTCTCCCCTTTTCTCTCTACTAAAACCGGCCATCTCCTTTATTTTTCCTCCAATTTAAATGAATTTAAGAAACCAAAACACACGTGCGTAGCCTGTGCTTTTCAACTAGTATACATACAAAGTCAGAAACCTATATGAAACTTAGAATGGGCATGTTAATATTTATTTTGTTCTTTCTTAATGATTAATTGCAAGAATAATCATATCCAAGATACTATTTCACTCAAAAAATAATCAAAACCCTCTTTCTTTCCTTCAACAATTAGTCTACCCATTACAAGTGTCGACCGCGATGACTTGCACTAGCTGAAAGCAACGCCATTTTCCCTAACAATAGAAAGAGAATCAACCATTAGCCAAAAATAAAAAAAATAAATAAATAAATTAAATACAAGGAACTGCAAAATTTAAACATGAGTAAAGAATAGACCTGTACTGGAAGCAATGATCTGTACAGGAACTCTGCTCCTTCCCCAAATCCACCTGCAGTGTCGAGATGGCCCACGTATGTGCCAAAACAATAACTGCCATCATTCAGAGTGAAAATGTGAAAAAATATATGACTGGGATGGAAATTGTTCAGGCTTTCTTCAATGCATAATTACATAGGTATAAACGTATGTACTCTTGTAACGAGGGAAAACAACCAATTAATGGAATGTTGGTAACAAGTAATTTTTATGCAAATCCAGGTTTACTAGGATGTTGAATTGCTAAAATTAATGGCAAAACTTGAAAAGAAAAGAAAAAAATAATCGAGAAAGAGGAAAGGACAGAGTGAGGAAGACAAAATAAAAGAAGGTTAAAAATTGGAATAACACGTAGATAAAAACTTCAAAATTGTTACCAACTTAAGTAAATATGCTATTTACTTTCAAAAAGATTCAAAAGTATGTTTTTCCCTATAAAGAAGGACAAATGTTTGGATCCTTAAAAATCGTAGGATGAACCAACTTAGCAGTAACTTAATGAAAGACTGTTGACTAAAAGAACAAAAAACCTGAATGAAATACTAAAATGAAAAGCTAGAATAGTAGAAAAGAGATGAAAACTGAAGCCGACATCAAAGTTGGCGAAAAAAGGAAAATCATAGAAGCAACACTTGCCTTCTAAATGATGAATGGTGCGATTGCCAGATGCTGCTTTAAACTACAATAACAGCCTCTCCAGAGGTCTTCTTTTTGGATCCGAATTGTCGATCTTCAACTTACATTTACACAGCACCCTTAAAGGGTGGAAATAACTAAAACTTCATGAAAATGAGTTGCTGTTGGAAGTCTGTTCAGAATGAGAGGAAAGCTTGATAAACTCTATATATATTCAAATAGCAGGTTTGTTTTACACAAATTAAAAGCTATATATAGGCTGCAATAATCATTTATAACAGTGAGAACTCTAAAAACCCAAACTTTGACCATATCAAGTAGTAAGCATCCATTTTTTTTTAATGTAAAATAAATGTAATTAGTAATTTGAGAGGCAATAGATAAATTATGCAGAGTGAGCAGAGTAGAATTTAAAAGATTAATCTTTTATTTGGATGGAGTATTAGATATTTCGACTTCTGTAGGACAAAAAGGGAGATGATTATTCCCACTATGAAAAGCTGGTCAAAATTTATATATGAACAATACAAGAAAGAAACATACCCCTAGTTCTTCATGTCTTGAACGAAAATATTCAGTTGCTGCACGCAAAAAGGAAGGCTGGAGCTCAGACGTCACAACATTGCGTTCCTTCTTATTAAATTTAGAGGGTTTCCAACAAGAATGTTAAGCGATATTTTGAGGAGTCGCACAGCCAACTACCTGAAAAATAATAATATTAAAACGTCGTTCAATTTTGACAGTTATTCTTTCATGACCACTGGTTCTGCTTGGATCTAGCATTGGAAATAAAGAGAAACCGTAATGCCAATCAATGATTTTGGATATACCGCTGTAAGTTATCTCTAGTTTAATCTTAGGACAGAAGCCAACTGATGTCAAAACAGGCAAACGTTGAAGTTTTGAACAACAAGAAAGGTCTACATATTGAAGACTCTTGATATTGTAGACGTTGATCCCAAAAGTAAATAATTTTGTGTAATGAGACAGATCAAGAATCGCAAGACGCTTCATCTTACAAATGCTTGTTGGGAGTGTTTCAAGCCTTGTGCAATTTGTCATTTGTAGAACCTCAAGAAATGGAAGACACTCAAAGGATGATGGGGGCACTTGTTCTATTGCTGTTTCTTTTAGATATTAGCATCCGTTTACTTTGTGGAAGCTCATCTGGTAACATTTTAAAAGATAAGCAACTACTTAAATCTATTCTTTGTTCCCTATACTATTTGTAATAGAATTCTTTTTCAATTATTTTAAACAATTTTTCAGTAGTAATTGTCGTTGTGACCCATAGAGTAATTAAGATAATAAATTGAGAAACACTAATACCATAATTCATAAATAGAATAATTACGATAATTACTAATCGAACAAATACTCAAGTGGAACAAATGGTAATTATCATTATGACTCGTATAGTAATTGTGATATTAAGTAAAGGTCTCGTTCGTTTCTCTAATTTAAGTTTTCAATTCCAGTCCGGATGTGACTTTATGCAAGAGTATATATTGTAGTATAAAAAGTTGAATTTAAATTTTCACGAGTTATTACCACTTGAGAAGCATGTATGATATAGGATTTTACAATTTTACAAGTTACTAAAACAAAACGTGAGGATTATTATGTTCAAAAAATAGTAATATTATTTTTCAAGCACTCATTATGATAACTCATAGTAATTACTGTTGCGACTCATATAGTAATTATGGCACTAACTAAATTTTCACGTGTCATTGCCACTTGAGAAGCATGTATCATAGGAATTTACAAATTTACAAGCTACTAAACACAAACCTACAAATATCAGCCTTTTCGCTAATCTCCATTTCGGATCCAAATCGTCAACCTCCAACTTACTTCTACAGCCACTACAAGTAGCATTTTAAGTGAGATGCAACCTTGCCCTTCTAAGTAGAGTTGTGTGCCATAAAGGACTGCTCAGTTCAATTGAAGCTTCCGCCCCTGAAAAAGAACTGTGTTTTTAAGTGCTACCTCAAGCATGAAAGTCAAGCAAAGATATTTTTGTCATCATTCGTAGAATTCTATCTTTCCACAGAGAAGGTTCCTAGTTATAGCGTATATGGTTTCCACAAAATCTATTATTCTATCAAGAAAGGAAAATTAAAAATCATTTTCAAACCTTACTAGATCAAGTAGTAAACACAATTTTTTCTTTAACGAAAATATGTACACAAAAATTTCGATAGAGCCAACAGGTAAATTATTCAGAGTGTGTAGATTAAATCAAGTCTGCATGTTTTTTCAAAGGTTATCATTATTTTTTTATTTGAATGATGTAATAGAGGTTATAGAGATATCAATTTTCAAGTGATGACTGATAAAACAACTTTAACATTGTGATTATTCAACGGTGTTATAAGATTAGAGAAGTGTACAAATTACCTATAAAAAGAAATAGAAACAAAAAGCATCAATTGCGAAAATCTTGAAATTTAGTTCTCTTAGGATGTGCTTCGTCGGTATCGCAGTTGATGTTGTCAACAATATCTAGTTCCCCTTCTGCAACTTGATTGTAACAAAATTCCCCAATATCTTGACGATACAAGATGCGGATCCCACAATTTTTTATTTCCGGATCGCCAACTTTTACACGTGTATCCGAATCAAGTTGTTCAACAAAGAACTGAAATGAAGCCTCTATTGCCTCGTGATAGTCATCGTAGTTCTTGTAGAGAACATACCATGTGAACATGAGGTCTAATTCGATAAAGCCGAACTTTTTTATCGAATGAACATCCCTTGATTTCTGGAAAGTACTATCACCACGGTTTGTTTTAAAATGGTATTCACATGTGAAATTCAAGTCGAAGAGGCGCTTATCAAAGTCGCACTCCCAAAAGTCCAGCAATTTAAAACGAATGCATACAGCAAATCCTAAGAAGCTGGTATTATACCAATCTCGAGAAAATGAAAGATCTATCGAAGATCGCTCAGACTGATGATTGAACCACTTCGGAATTTTAAATCCTGGATGACAAAAACTGATTCCAGGATATTTCGTTTCCTGTAGCACAAGAAAAGTTATGAATTTTTCCACTATGAATAGCCCCTATTCAAAGGATGTGATTAGCAATACAAGAAAGAGACATACCTCGTCTTGTTCTTCATGGTTTGAACGAAATTCAGTTGCTGCTTGCAGAAAGTAAGGCTGGAATTTAGACATCACAACTACAGAATCCTCGCCACCATCAAATACCTCGCAATCTAGACAAGAAGTATATTGACCAATTTTGGAACGTGAAAACGAGTTGCATTCAGATCTAGATTGACAAGTCGCATATCCGAGTGCGTCAAAGTAAATCAAATTAAAAAATCTCCGAATGGTCACGGTTATTCTTTCACCGATAGGTTCGCTTGGATCTAGCACTGGTAACGAGGATGACCCGTAGCACAACCACTCTAGAATGTTGGTTATACTTTTGTAACTTATATCTAATGTAATCTCGGGGAAAAAACGAGCCCATGTCACAGCGGGCAAAGTTTGAAGTTTTGGGCATTTAGATAGGTCCAGGAATCTAAGACCATTGATATTGCAGATGCTATCTGGAACAGACTCAAGATTTTCACAGTTTTCCAAGCTTAGAGAAGCAAGCCTATGTAGATTTTCAATAGACAAGGGTAGTTCTTTGATCCCTGATCCATCTAATTGAATAGTAAATAGTCCTTCATGAGGCTCCAAGATTTCTGGGAAGCTTTTCAATTCTGAGCAACGAGATAAATCAAGCGACGCGAGAGACTTGAGCTTAAAAATTTCGGTTGGGAGGGTTTCAAGCCTTGTACAACATCTATTCATACTGCATACACTTAAGCAGTGCACATGAAGTATATGTATTTGAGTCAAAAGAGGAAATAATACTTGAAACCACCGTGTAAATCAATTAGTATCAGCTAAGAAATTCAGAGGCAAGGTGGGCTTTGAGTTGCTTCGTAATTTCCAAAATGCTTTCATTCCAGCTTCTCGGTAATTTCCTCGGAAGATGGTCAGATGCACTAGGAGAATGAAGGGTCAAGAAAGCCTTCAACACCATGTGATGAAAAGACAACACTAAAGTAGGCCCCTCTACCTTAGTATATTTTTTGATGTTTTCTTTTTTTTTTTGAAAATATTTATTTTTTAATCTTTTTATTTGTATTAAAATCTATCACTTTTGTATATTTTTATAATTTAATATGCTTTTAATCGGATTTAACAATT